CTATCCGAGTAAAAATGGTTAGGAGATGTAATAATTTTCCTTTACTCCTCCTGAGTATAATGATTCTGTATATATTCGAAAATGATTAAACTATCAAAGGCTTTACCGATGGCTATATAATTATTTAAATGTGACTTGGTAACTTCACCGCGTATTCTTGGTGAAAGGGTTCCTATTAATATAGAGAATCAGGCGCCTCGATCTTATTAGACCTACTACCTCCTGACTCTCAAATTAATTCCTCTAATACCTTACCGCTGGTGTAGTTATCTAGCCTAGCCTTACGTTTGTTTGTCGTCGTCTTCTCTGCAACTTCTCTGCCGTCTGACTTCGACGCAATTCTTCCGCATCTGTCAATTGCACTGACTTATATACCCTTGGAACAATCTATTTCCAAGGGTTGTCAGGTGAAAAGGTATTCATTTCTCTTACGTTTCAGTAGAATTAAAATCTTAGTTCATCTAAAATACATAAAAAGCGCTGTTACAACGCGAAATGTAATAACAACGCGATATGTACTAAACATGGATTAATTACATTTTGCGTTATTACATTTTGCGTCGAAATCAACGCAGAATGTAATAACGCAAAATGTAACAACACACTTTTGAGAATTATTACATTTCGCGTTATTACATTTTGCGTCGAGATCAACGCAATATGTAATAACGCAAAATGTAATAACACGATTTTTGTATTATTACATTTTGCACATTTTGCGTCAGATTAAGCAAAAAGCAAGAACGAAAAATGTAATAACACACTCTTTGGTCAGCCAGATTAAGTACAATTTTTAATAGAGTAGTGACCGATGAAGAGGAAATAAAACAAAAGGAAAAAACAGATATATGCAATTTCTTACAATTAATAAGCTACATTGTATTTAAAATCAGTTTAATAAATGTGTGTGTGTGTGTGTGTGATGTGTGTGTGAATATATAGACAAAAGCAATGAATCTAAAAGAAAACCCATTTACACTGCATTTGTACTAGCAGGTGTAAATATATATCGGAAGGGGTTTATTTGACAATTGTGATACCATACTTTTCCATGCAAATCACCAGCATTGCAGACATCCAAAAACACTCCCTCTCTCTCCATTCAATAATAAAATGGATTGTTTCTGCATGTCCAAAGTAATACAATGATAAACATTCTAAGTAAACACTCCACTCTATCCCTGCCCTTCCTCGCTTGATACTTCTTTGTTAACCAATGTACACATGTCAAACATGCATATCAAAAGCTAATAATGAAACTATGACCAATCTTTGGTAATTAAATAAATTTTGTGTTATTGGTTGGAAATTTAATAATATTTTTAAAAATATGCCAATCAGAGTTAAATTAATGCTTTATAATTTAGCACAGTGTATTCAATATACCGTAACTGAAGTCAGAGTCAGAAAAACGATACATTTTGATATATTTATGTCCATAAAAGCCGTTGGTCTCATTGTTTAAGTTCTAAATATTTTGTACAGCGTGTCTCCCATGTTGGTAATATGTATATTTTGAATAAATTTTATGATCTTTTTTGTTAAACGCAATCAAAAAATAATAATTGTATTTTGTTTTTTACATATTGTTTTATTACATTTTGCGTTGACTTCAGTGCAAAAATAAAATAACGCAAAATGTAACAACGAAAAAGCACATTATTACATTTTGCGTTAATCTCGTCGCAAAATGTAATAACGCAAAATGTAATAATCTAAAAATCGTGTTATTACATTTTGCGTTATTACATTTTGCGTTGATCTCGACGCAAAATGTAATAACGCAAAATGTAATAATCCAGGTTTATTACATTTCGCGTTGTTATTACATTTCGCGTTGTAACAAAGCGCCTTACAAACACCTGCTTTGTCAGTAGGGACCAGTACATACTGACCATGTAATATTTCTTCAGTTCTGAAAACAGAAGGATAATTATTAGGTTTTCATTTGGCCCCTCAATTGCTTAATGCGAGATTTTAACATACATCTGATACTCTTTATCCATTTCAACATGAATGTCTTCTTCATCAACCCCGTGGGGATCCGGGTTAGAATAGGTCCTCAGTACCCCCTTGCTTGTCGTAAAAGGCGACTATATGGGGCGGTCCTTCGGATGAGACCATATAAACTGAGGCCCCGTGTCACAGCAGGTGTGGCACGATAAAGATCCCTCCCTGCTCAATGGCCCTGAGTGCCGAGCATAGGCCTAAATTTGCAGCCCTTCACCGGCAATGGTGACGTCTCCATATCAGTGAAATATTCTGGGGAGGGATGTTAAACAGTATACAATCAATCAATCTTCTTTATCATGTTTTGCCCATCGCCTGGCATAATCTTCCAACAGAATTTATTATATCTATAAATTGAAATAACGATGCCAATGAAAATATAGGGGTTCCCTAAATTTTGGCCCTTTTAAAATGATCGATTTAAAGTCCTCGTTAACTACATTATTTACTTCACCAGTAATAATAATAACATGTCCAGCAGGACTATAGTTGTAGGGTGAAAAAGATGAGCAGGAAGGAGGATTGTTTATGGTACAGTGGAGCCTCATTTATCCGGACACTTTAGTTCCAAGTCAATTTGTCCGGATATGTGAAGAGTCCGGATACCTGAATTACCAGTTAAAATAGATAAAATAACGTTAAAAAATCCGCTCCGATGAAAAATCATCCCAATAATGAAGCATCTGTATATTTGGTGTCCGGATTACGAGACGTAAATATTATTTACATCTCTATATGTACATATATTTTCCATTTCAAAAGATTTGAGAATTGAGAAAAAGAAAAATTAACACAACTCGGTCTTGTAAAAAATTTATTTTATATATTAAAAAAAATGAAGAGTGGTGATAGAGTGATTCCACTTTGATTTAAAGATATGACATAAATAACAACCTCGTTCTGAAAAAAATAAATTTCTAAAATTACATTTCCATGGTAACACTAATGAATCACTGCTGTATGGTACACTGATTATTTGATGCAGAAACATACATGGCATGCATTCACTTGTCAAATATTGGATGATAAACATGATCAAATGGGCTGAAAATAGAACAAGTCCCACAACTCTGTATAATGCTGTAGGACTATACCATGTACACCAACACTGCACTTTAATCATGTTAGTTAATGCCCGAAGTCCATGATAAATATGCAGGATGGATTACATTCATGTCAATGGTTATTTGAATTTGCTCATGCTTTGCACGACTACTTTATATTGCTGTATTTCTAGGCTTCAGATACACCACTAAGTGGAATGCCTTTCACACGTTTCATTCAGTGCAGAGGAAACGAAGCTTTGTGCATAGAGAGTGATGGAATTGTCTTGTGAAATGCTTGTATTATTAATCATGTTACGAGTATAAATGACCTCTGTATCTACAATAACCTCATGACCTTATACAAAAATCTGGAATAGCCGACCAAAAAAATAACATTAATCAGCTAAAAATACAATGTAAACATTGGTATATATATGATAAAACTCTTTGGAAAATATTTCACTAGCCAGACTACGAATTATGTATATTAGAAAATGCTTATTTTAAAAAGGAATGTTGTTCTAATAAATAATAAGTCTGATACATCTGAAGCAACAGTAATATCGGGTGGCCTACATATCACCAATGGCAGACTACAGCTGGAATATTGTCCTAGCAGCCTATTGCTTATATATAGCACTGCTACTTATTCACAGGCACAACGAAAATATTGTCCATCAAAACACATGGCGCAAAAGTATCTCACTTCTCAGTCCACGACTCGAGTCCAGGGTAATGAGTGTGTGGCAGAGATACTCGTGAGCATTAGTAAATGCTTGTTCATTATGGAGGGTCACACACACCTTTTCTCATGTGACTTCAATCCATCCTCCTGTTAAGAGGGTTTTGCTTAACTGCACTGCAATTCATTCAAGTCTTTCCTTCAAGAAATCTCTAATCACAACCTTAGGGAAAATTCCAAAATCTGATACAACCTTTGACAATCACAACCTCAGAGTAAATCCAATCCTCAATAATCACAACCTGTGTATCTATCCATTCCTTGATAATCTATTGCAGTTGAGTCCAGTATGGTGTATTATATTATCCTTAGCACTTAAAGTCACCAGTCACTATACCCAGGAGTCAGCGCCCCCTGCTGGACTGCCTGGTTCACCTAGATTCACCTGATAACCAGGACCTAGGTCGTCTCTGCGTTTGTTTTTATTGACTTGAGCATATAAAGGTTCTCCTCCGTGTGACACAGACTGTGGTTGAGCTTGCTGTTGCTACAACAGAAATATCACTGAACTGAATTCTATGTCCACATTAGCTCACAAAAGATTATAATACTTATCTAGTTCCAGGGCCATGAAACTTAGATGAGCTTAAATTTGATCTCAGTTTCACTTACACTGTATACCAACTGAGAAAGGAATTCTTGAGATACATATTCATGGTTGAGAGAACTTAACATCACTTACTGGTTGTAATCCAACTGTGAAATTGAGTCTGAAAACCATTTTCGTGTATACCACGCGTAGACATGGAGAAACTTGTGTTCACGTGAGTCCTCATCTAAAAATGCATAACATATGGCAGGGAGAAATTCAAATCTCCTATACCCTAGTTGCTAAAAAAAATGTCATATCATATCGCAGTGAATGAGGAATTAGTATTAGATACATGTATACATATTGTAAACACGTTACTATCCTTTAATTTTTTTTTTTCCACAGTACTGGACAATCAGTCTACATTTTACTTGCATAGCAATGACATATATGTATTTTGGTTTCGAATTTTTAGCATATACTGATCAATTATAAGTTCTAATCAGTGAAAATAACTTATGTCTTCATTGGAATCTCTAACAGGTAAAAAAATGGATATATCACAATGAATAGAAATAATATTCATACATGTATACATATTGTAAACATGTTACTATCCTTTATCTTTTTTTCTCCTTAGTACTTGAAAATCAGTTTACATGGGGTTGTGATTATTTGACTTCTATGAAAAACTCACCCTTCTTCTATCATCATAAGGGTAAGGTTCTACAAAATAAAAATACATGGTCACATTCAGTCATCAGTTTCATAATGTAGGGTTTCAGCATATACAAATTATCTTACAATCATGATGGTAACTTTTATTTTTAGTACACACCTTCTACATTCATGGCAGGGTTGCTGTGTCCTTGAACCATGCCATGGTAACCTCCATTAGCAGGTGCATAAGGTTTGTTGATTGGTCGCCCTGGTGACAGTGTGTTGTCATCATAACCATGGCTCTCCATCCCCCGACTCATGGTACTGTAGGGGGTGGTACTGGGGGCCCCGGAGTTAGGTGGTCTGGAATTTACAGTGATAATTTGTGTTAAAATATCATGTATGGTATACTGACTCTCTGTAGACTAACTGTAACTTCATACTTTTAAAAATAACACATTAAATGAAAAGAGGACATGAACTGAAGTCAATATCAACTGACTTGCATTAATCTAACAAAGATGCTTAAATTATATCCTTAAAATTTTCACAAAAACAGATTTTTTCACAGTGTAACATGTAGCTGAAGAGGTTTATCAACATAAGCAAATAGGGAACTAAATTTAGGACAAATTTTGGTTGTTATCAGATAAACTGTAAATACAGACTACTGCTGGCTGAGGCTGGAGCCTTAGGTTCTCTATCAACTATCCAATAGGTGACTACATACCTATTGGGGGTTTAGATGGTGGGGGGGGGGGGGTATTATCAGACTACATACCTGCTGGCTGAGGCTGGGGCCTTGACTTCCTGTTCTGTCAGACCGTTCTGTATCTGACTACATACCTATTTGGGGGTTTAGATGTGTGGGGGTGGGGGTAGGGAGGGGGGAGGTGGGTATAATTATCAGATGACGTACCTGCTGGCTGAGGCTGGGGCCTTGACTTCCTGTTCTGTCAGACCATTCTGTATCTGACATGTGGGGGTGGGGGAGGGGGGGATTGTTATCAGATGACGTACCTGCTGGCTGAGGCTGGGGCCTTGACTTCCTGTTCTGTCAGACCGTTCTGTATCAACTCCCCGTGAAGTGACTTAAACTCCCACAATTTCTCCAGAAGCTGTTAAAGAACGAACAACAAAATAAAATCTCAAGTCACAATCATGTTCACTTTACAAATCCTTGTTAAAAACAATTTTTTTTCCATTCATGTGTGTTTTAGTGGGATATATCTTTTATATCAAATTCTCCTTTACTTACCCGTTGAACTTGGTCTTTGGTTTTCTTCTGAAACTTTCCTGGAGCAAATTTCACAAATTTTAATCTAGGAATGCCCTTTTCTCTCACAAACATTCTGAAAAGAAAAAAATTTCCAAATATAAGGCCCAATGATTTAAAACAAAACCTTAATCATGTTTGCAATGAGTTAAAATCTAAGACTTCTCACTTATTGTGTGAAATCTACACTTTTCTAAATTCGCTAACTTACTGTGCGAAGTCTACACTGTTCTTCAGTAGTTCAATAAGGAGAGCCACTGCGGCACATATCGTTTTGTCTGGGACATTCTCCTTCTGTTTCTCCAGAGGTAAGGTGTTGATGATTGGCTTCAGGGCATATTTACCTAAAATACAAAATATCTACCATGTAAAACATAGGTAATCAGAGATTACAGGGCTCACCTCAACGAATGTTGTCTTTAAATAAGGCAAATTCACACAATTAACCAACAAAAAGTGTACATTCCAAAAATGAAAATATTTAAGCAATTTTGAGATACTTTGAAAATAGACCTGTATAAAAAATTTAAACTAGTTCAAAAAAATGTAATCAAAATCCAGCATCTGAAGCAAATTTGAGACAGAAACTAATGGTTCGCCAACAACATCGCTAATAAAGCCCACAATTAGATGGAGTCAAAAAATTCCCTAAATGTGGTACCTCTTAATTAACAAAAATATGCTCAATACACCAGTGTGTTGATATTTGTATGAGAGATTACCTATCAGCTCCTTGTTATCCATCCTTAGATGTATCAATGGCAAGTTTGGTCGTAGTGCTTATAGTTACGGAAATGACACACAAGGTCATCTCAATAACTTTAACCTGTAAATCAACCAAAATGTAGGTCAGGGCAGCCCTTTGCATCATTAGATGCATCATCCATGCAAGTTTGGTCATCATCTGCATTAACTGAAAAACATATCAAACTTTAACCTGTTCAGAAAAAATTAGGTCAGATTTAAGTTAGAAGTATCCTCATAGATGTATTATCTATGCAAGTTTGGTCACACAATAGTTATAAATACACACAAAAACTAAAAAATGTTATGCTCCAAAAACATTAACCTGGTCATTCCTTTGCTGAAATTGCAGCATCTGAAACTTTGATTGCAATGAAACACACTAGAAATTTTGAATTATCAATATAGGACATAGAAGTACTTAAAAAGAAAACTGCTCCAAAAAACTTAACCTTACCTTCAAGTAGCAAGTTGTATGGTTGTATGTCCCTCACAGTTTGGTGAGCTAAAAATGGATAGAATGATAGATATGACTGCAAATGCAGAATTTACACAGGTATTTCACGTTTTAATCAGAATGAAAAATGCCTGTATAATTACTCAAAAAAAGTACAAAATACCTTAATGAGAGAGAAACCAATGGGTTGCAACCAACATTGCTCATAAAGCCACAATTAAATGGAGTCAAAAAATTCCCTAAATTTGGTACCTCTCAATCAATGTAAATATGCTGTATATAGATGTGTGTTGATAATTGTATGCCCCCACCACTGCCTGTATGGCTAAGTTGCGTAGTGCAAGGGCGGAGTGACACACAAGGTCATCTCGATCTTGACCCAGTAAATCAACCAATGAGGGCAGTCCTTTCTCTATCCTCACTAGAGCTCTAGCATCATCTGCAAACTGAAAAACATATCAAACTTTAGTGAGAAAAATTCATTCAAATAAGAATGCCTCATATTAATGATCTGCATTATACACAATAGCATAAATACACACATTAAATGTATCAATTGTCCATCAAATCTGAGGTTTTATTTGCACAGAAATTTTGAATTATATGGAGTCATAAAGTAAACCCCCCCCCCCCCCCCCCCCCTACAGTGTATTGTCCTTGTACCCTTCCAGTTTGGACCCCCCTTAGGCTGTTAAAGTTCTGTATGGCCCCCACTGCTGCCTCTACTGTCACTGGGTTAAAACTCTCCTGCAGTATATCTAGGTACAGGGTGAACCCCCCCCCTTACAGTGTATTGTCCTACCTTCCAGTAACAGGCTGTTAGGTTCTGTATGGCCCCCACTGCTGCCTCTACTGTCACTGGGTTGGAGCTCTCCTTCAGTATATCTAGGTACAGTGTGACAGTCTCTTGCTGCCACAGAGCCTGGAATTCCTGTGCCCCCGGCGGCAGATGTATCTCCGCACTGTCAAAAGACAACAGCAAAATTGTCAAGTAGAATTCACGATTATAAAGAATTTCTGTTAAATTGACATTTCTTTGCATCTTGAAAACAGTTTATTCAACAAAAGTCAATATCTATAAAAATTTTATTTTTTTTGTTAAAATTACATTCCTTTGCATCTTGTAAAAAAAAAAATAGTATGCCTTTTCAATAGAAGTCAATATCTGTAAAATTGTTCAAATGAAGAAAACTAGTCTTGAAATTGCTATTGTTATAGTATGACCTACTTTTGATTCATGTCAGGTTTGCCTTTTTTGGCCGCTGTTCCCTTCTTTTTGTTTCCACCCCCTCCGAAACATCCTGTGGTTTCTGTGAAAAACAAATACATTGTATACAGTTATATATATAACACAGGCACAGAGACAGGATACAGAGTCATTTAGATCTATAACTACTCAAGAATCTTGCAGTTTTCTTTTGCTTCGATTTCTAATTTCCTCAAAATTCACAGCTTAAATTTAAAAAACTTGTTCTGCCATTTTGACAACAATTTCCTCTTTCAATCATTGGATGACTATTTTGTAGAAGTCGCTTTGAATGATGAAAGTTTCATGTTAGAATGTAAAATGTTCCACAAACAAAACACTTTGAAAATTGCAGAGTGATAAGATTAAAACTTAATGCTTAATATGCCTGAATATTATTTTTCAATCAATAAATGATACAAATTCAAAAGGTTTTCTTTGTAAAATGTAAAACACAATGTTTTCTTTGGATTTTCCCACATATAAAATGGCACTCCTTGGGTTTAAAAATGTTGAACAAATTGATCTGGTTTTAAATATTACTAGTATTCTTTCAATTTAAAACCACTGGGTTGACCTGAAAATATCCTTATAATTACTGACATAACAGAAGCGTGTCCTGAGAGACCTCTTGACCACTACTTTCTAACCTTTACAGAGTTACCTACCCTTGTCTGGCTGCTGTCGACGCTTTAACGTTTCCGTTCGTTTTTTATAAAAGTCTTGTTCCGTCACTTCCTGAATTCTGAATGAGAGATTCCGTAACGCACACATACAGTTCTCCACAATTTTATTTTCACGATCTCGTTGGTCTCTTGAGATTTTGAGAGTATGAATTAAACTGTTCACTAATCGACTGCTCTCTCGGAGTTTATTTCTTGTGTCATAACCTCTCATTTCATCGTCTTTGAACGCTGAACTCAGATTTCTGAAAAACAATCACAAAACTTGTAAACAAAATTTTTTTTAATAAACACACCCCAACGTATGTATAATATCAAATAGTTGATAATTCAGTTTTCCATTATCATGATTATCAAAATACTTGCCAAGTACAAAACATTTCAATATTAATTAAGTATTAAAAGTAGGCATTTTTTACATGTTTTATGTTGACTGTAAGCTGGATGTAGCATGAGTTACCTCTGCTTTTTTCATGTAGGTTACCAGTCTCTTGTAATGAGCTTCTTTTAGTTCACTTATCATAAACTATATTTCAATGTTTCTTATTAAAAATAAATAATAAGAAAAACTGAAATATACATATGTTTATAGTCACTTGTTACAGATTCTGGATAAAGTGTTGAACTGCCAAAAATGAACTTTTGATATCTGACAGAAATCATTTGTTACTGATGGAAGAAGAAATTGAGTTATTCCCCTCACAATACACAGTTCTGACCAATATAAAATAATCCCCACCTAATTTATAATTTGCCCTTTTAAGAGCCATTCAGTTGTATGCTTTTCGTTATAAATAAGCTGAAGCACATTGCATTAATTTTTTTTTTCTGGTTACTCATAAGATCTGTAAAACTAATTACTATATACCCTTACATGCAGTATTTTCCAATATATCAAATTTGAAAGACACAGAACTATTGGAGTTTTTACTTATCATGAAATAGACTTGACCTATTTTTACATTCCCAAATCCTTTATCACTTCAAAATATGAGCTGAATGCAGGTTAGCCTCAAATAGCATTACCACTAATTGAGATGAAAAAATCAAATCCTAGAAAATATTTATAAGTACATTATAACTATACACATGGCATGCAATCCACAGGATTAGTGATTCCTTATGATACCAATTATTGCTGACTCTCATATATCATTAATCATTCACTGATTCAAAACATTTTTCTTCCTCTAACCTGATGATGCCTGTTGCATTTTTGTACACTGTGGTCCAGGGTTCGTACGCCATCAGCTTCCTTTGTTCCCAGCCCGAGTACGGCACAATAACGTGGCCGACGATATCTGGTAAACCCTCCGCAATTATCTTAGGCTTCAGCTCCTGAAACATGATCAATGTTCCCATAAATACATTAGCTCCAAATATTTAATACATATACTACTGATACTTGTTAATTATATCATTAACATTAGCCATATTATGTACATTCTGCATGTAAATTAATGTAAATATAGTAAGAAAATGCCATTTAAATTACATTGAAAATATTGCAATGTATCGCAATACGAAATCCCGGGCCAATACCCAGCCCTAGTATTTACTAAGATATGGATTCATTGATCTTTAGAAGCCTGAATAAGATTTATATTCAACTGATATTCTTGTAAACAATACAACCATAAAGTCAGGAAGTATCAAGGTATGAATATTCCTCCATATCACAGACAAAACTTACCTCACATGACGAAAGATTCCACAAAATGCCTGTCACCAGTTCTTTGATTTCTTCCTCCCGAGTTTTACGTATGAGACGTATCAACTCTGTAATTCCTCCAGCATTGGCAATTGCTTTCTGTAACAAAAACAAAATCAACAGTGACAAGTGCATAGATTTGTTCAGACTTGTACTAAGGTCATCAGTGGAGACATTGATTGCTGACACATTTCACACTAAAATTTTAATTGTGAAGAGATTTATTCTAAAGAAGAGTTGAACACTAATTAACAAACACTGCACTTTCTTTACTAAAACAAATAGAAATCACCCCCCTACCTTGTTATCAGTCCCCGCCGGTCCCCGACCGTACGACAGATTTTTGAGGGCCCCACAGGCATTCTTCTGGACCTCAGGGTAATCACTGTGTAACAGTTCTACTAGTGGGGGGATGCCGTCTAAGCCCCTGTAAGAGATAAAATAATAACCACATTGAAATAATGTACAATCAAAGAACACTTTTGTTTAATGAATCACATGATTTTCCATTGATATCATAAGATTGGAATATAACACAATCATATCTAACAGTTACATCAAATCAACTCAAATGATTTGGAAATGTTATCTTAATACTCAAATGTCTTAAAAGACCTCTATTTTATGATATTCAATATTTCAAGAGTTGAAATTATTGAAACCAAGGTATCATTTTGAAGGAATTAATACTTTTGCACTTTTACTTTCCATTCTAACAGAGCTAAGTTACTGACAAACTTACCAGTCAAATGCTTTGCACCAGTCTGACAGAACTACCATAAACAAATAATGAGAACTTAGTCAACTTACCAATCATACACTTTGTACGAGTACCTTGGGATCGGTCTAACCACAGTGGTGTTCTGTGGAATGTAATATTCCATAACAGTACTCTCTGTCTCCCATAACGCTCCCCTAAATCCTGGCTTTATTTACCTACGGTGTCTTATTGCAAAAAGCCAAGGTGACCTACATTTGCCCAAGGACTTAAGTGAAATCAAGCATCAAAACATCTCTTCCTGAAATCAACTTTTGTGGGTATAGCATCATATTCTTAGTGTATTGTGTAGGACATTCATAACAAATGACTTGAGACATCAGTGATCACCATATCATTTCCATGACATTAATCTCTCATAAAATAAGATTTAATTCTCTGTACTTCTCCATTCCTATCTAAGATGTTTAATCTCCTTTGATTAAACAGACCATGCCATCCTATGATTTTTGTTTACTTTACCTCATTCAAGTAATAAATTTATCTCTCTCAATTTTTTTTTTTTGGGGGGGGGGGGCCTGGACATAGGTTGGCCTTGATACACACTGACCTTACCAAATTTATGCGATGACATGGCCTGTTAAACCATGTCAAACTTTGATTGTATAAGGATGTACCTATCCTTACCTGGTGTACAGATGTATGTCTGTCAATTATCAAATGATATTAACTTGGTATCCACATCTGTGTAGCCTTACTTATTCTGACCTTGAAGTCTTAATCTGTATCACCTTACCAGTTTTGACCTTCATATTTTGGTCTGTTTAGTCCAATCTGGCTTTGACTTTACTAAGTCAAACTTTAACTGGTTTTGACATACCTGTATGTCAATTTGACCTTACCTGATTTTTGTCCTTGACATATAAGTCATTTTAACCTTAACTGGTTTTGACCTTATGATATATAAATCAGTTTGACCTTACCTGGTTTTGACCTTGATATCCTGGTCGGTGTAACACAGATGTTGTAAGTAGGCTGCAGCATTGGCCTTGACCTGTTCGCTAGGGTGACTCAGGTAATCAATCACTTCCTGTAGGTCAGGAGGTCGCCAGCTATTTCCTGTCAAAAAAGGCATGTACATATTTACAAAGGACAGAAAAACTGATAAAATTCTTAACTCTTTATCAAGTTATCCAAAAAAAGTAATCCTCTCAAATACCCTGTCCTGACATATTGATAATTATGCAATCTTCTAATTAAAATTGAATGATTTCAAATCAAATAACTTCAGACCTGACATTCTAATATAAAACGACACCTGATTCCATCAATAATTCACATCAACAATCTTTTGCATCCATTGTTTCCCAGAAAACTGGAGACTGTCTAACTCTTTAGCCCCCAGATCAATGAGAATTAACTATCTCTCACACTGTATGGATTGACCGTGTTGATGGGGATTTTTGCAAACCAATAACGGAGACTCATAATTTGTCAGTCTGCCCAGGTTAAGACTGCATTCTAGATAGACAGCTATAAAAAAGTCTGAGGGAGGAAAAAGGAGATGTGTAGAAATCAATAATGGTTTACTTGTCTGAGGGCATGGCCGGGTCAATGAAGGATTTCAACTATAACAGCTAATCAAAGAACTCTGAAGTTCACAGCATGCTCATTGTAGTATCTGAGTTGTCATTGTTGAAGATGTGATGTTAAAATTGTTAACTTGAAAAAAATTAAACACATTCACTCACACTGAAACCATTTTCTTTTCCATTTTAAATTAGTTGTAAATCAGAAATTGTCTGCAGCATAACAAAAGTCCAAGAGTAATTCAAAAACCGAATAAGAAAAAAATAGAATAATTATTTAGGCCTCAACACATTTCATCCTTTTTCATTCCAGAAAACTTTAAATCAGACATTGTTTACTGAAGTTTCACAACAATAATCATGATAATACACAAACAAGATGTGCATGCTATTCTTCTCAAGATTTTTACTTCAAAAAGATTTTTTATTGTTCAAAACACAGAACCTGATAGTGAGAAGAAACAAAAGATGAATGTAGTCTGAATTTTTATTTTGTTGACAGAGCATGGAGGAGCAGGTTATTTAAAGTTGTCCCTACAGAACCATTACTGGGTCAGGCAATCAATTAGCTACCTAACCCAGCTGTATCAGGTTTAAATCCCCAGAACAAAAGCCCTGTATATAAAGGCATCCCAGACCTTGTACAAGGCAGACCTACCCTTATCTCCCCCGATCTTAAACACCCGCGACTACCGACACCCTCCTAACTATACATTTCTATGTCTATTTACTTCACTCTGAAGTAATCCTGAATGTGTTCTTGCTTTAATGAAGTTGTAAAACCAACACTTCGGTGACAAGGTGTCATTCTGGGAACATTAACCTTGCCATAAAATGTCAATCAACTTAACAAAACCTACCTCTGATATCCCTTAGCTGAAAATCCATCAATTAAAATTCATAGAATTCCTCACTGACATAAATCCAAGTTAAAAAGTCAGCTCGCTAATTAGTTAATTATCCCCACACTGTGTGTTGAATTATAACCTGGTTAGATGTGGCGGGTGTGTAGAATTCTAACACTATACAGAGACTTCTGTGTAATTACAATCACTGCACCCGTCCTTATCAGGCCAGAATTCTTGACAAAGAGCCCACAATGGCTGTATATAAAGCCCGGCTGGTTACCATTCAAGTCATTATTTACCAGTCCAGATAAAGTCCCCCCGGCACCAGGACAGGTATCAACCCAGGACTCGTGTCCGCTACCCTGCCAATATGTTTACGGCTATGTATGGCTGCAGTACTCAAAATGTGCCATTAGAGAGGAAAACAAGATATGTTTGTGAAACACTATGCCCCCGGCGGTAACACAAGTTTTGAGCTGGGCAGTCTGGTATTTTTTTTTTGTAAAAGTAGGTCAAACTCCAAGGTCAAAAGGTCAAATATGGTGGTACCCAGAGAAAGGTCTTGTTACAAGAATTACACTTGTGAAATATAAAAGCCCCACTTTTAACTGTTCAAAAGTTGTGACCAAGGTTAATGTTTTTAAGAAGTGGGTCAAACTCTTACGTCAAGGTCAAAAGGTCAAAAATATTTCTACCGTCTGAAAGGTCTTGTCAAAATGAATATACATGTGAAGGATGAAAGCCCTAACTTCAACTGTTTAAAAGTTATGGCCAAGCTTAAACTCTGGTATTTTTTTTGTAAAAGTAGGTCAATCTCCCAGGTCAAGGTCAAGAGGTCAAATATGGTGGTACCCAAAGAAAGGTCCAGTAACAAGGAATACACCCGTGAAATATGAAAGCCATAGTCCCAACCACTCAATAGTTATGGACTAGGTTAAAGTTAACAACAGACAGACCGAAAAAAAGACAGACAGACAGACAGGACAAAAACAATATACCCCGACTTGTCCGAATAAAAACCTAATGTACACTTATCTGTCAAATATTTTCTATCTACCTCAACTTACAATTGGTAAATAAAAACAATGTTGTAATGATTCCAACACTCTATTATGAAGAAGACAGATCAGAACTTGGTCTACTTTAGGAATGGTTTTGATCTATTTTACATGAATATCTGGCACTTGAAGTGATTTTTTTCCAAAAAAAAAACTGAAATGATTAATCAAACTTTTAACCCCCCCCCCATCTTGCCTAACTTTGGTTAAAGAGAAGTTTCCCATAGACAGTTGCACAAAATTGAGATGCATAGCCTCCTGACTTTTCACTTGGCAAAATTTACATTCAAGTGCTGCTATCCAGAAATCAACTCCCCATAATATTAGGCTGAGATTAAGCATGATAAACCGAACATAAAATTTCTCCTACCCTATCCCTATATCAGCGTTATTAGCGGTACATCAGATTTGACTTACCCTCTCCCTGTATTGACGGTGTCCGTCGGCCGTCAGAGAAGTGCTCCCTTGACGGAGCATTGACAAGGCCGGCCTCTAACCGCGGGACGTTGTCGTCGTACATCCCTCTCTGTGGCGTTCCGCGACCATCGTTACTATAGCGATCATCGTAGCGGGCTGGGGGCTGGTCATTGTATCCACCTGAACAGAAAATATAACATACATCTGTAATACATGTCAATTCGGTGTAACAGGATCTATTTATAGAAACATTCATTAGATTCATTTCTTCATGCTGGATTTCCTTCAATCTTCCATTACATATTGCTACAAAAGAACCTAGTTAAGGCCATAATAAATAAATAGCTAGATTCTCATCCTAATTTTTTTAAAAATTGAGGCGGGCGGTTTTTATTTTATATTTTTCATTTTTTCAGTTTTGCAGATTTTTTATTGACCTGGTCAATCAGTGTAATTTTATCTACAATACCCGAATAAAAGTCATGGTAAAGGTTCATTTATCTCTTACTTCACATCATCACCAATCTTTTTCAACCAATGACCCTTTTTAAAAATATATACGCATGTATTACAGCAATTACCATCTTTTCAGCTGTCAAAATCATGTCGACTTTTGCAGGATTTAAAACGGTAAATTGTAGATAATACCGATCCCGATCAGAATTAAGACGAAGAAAAACAGAAATAAAAAAAATCGAGGCGGGGGTATAAAATCGGGGCGGGCGGGGATGAGAATCTAGAAACATTTTTATTATGGCCTAAGGATTACTTTTCCCTGAAAGTTAGCTACCAGAGAGATACAATCAGTTCAAATTTCAAAAAACCTTCAAAACCCATTCACAGGACCATGCAGCCTTAAGACCAGGTGTCAAATAAAGATACCTAACCTTTCAACTCGATCATAGAACGCTGACAACAGTTAACTGACGTTACTTATATCTATAGACCAATGCATGATGGGATACTCACTCATATTAGAATGATCAAAGTCAGGACGTGATTCCAAATTTTGTGGTGTCATCGGTGCATATTCACCATGACGACCATCACAGGGGTCAAAGTCATCCTGTGGGACATATCTCAGGTCAGGGTTAGAATCTAAAAATAGACATCCAAACAAAATCCTCTAACCAACAAACTATACTTCAAGACAATATCTTTTCCAGTTGAATTTCAATACAGGAAATAGAAAATGGATAGAAAGACAGAGAAAGACAGGATTGATGCAGAGAGAAAGAAGATTGGAAAGACAAGAATTACAATCCCTTTTTTATCAGTAAGATCAGAAATATGAGACAACTTTTCACTGAATCACCCAAAAGTGAACATAGGGAGAAGAAATGATATGATTAAAGAGAACAACTATCACATTTGATCAGGGCATACTATATAATACTCACTCATATTAGAATGATCAAAGTCAGGATGTGATTCCAAATTGGGGGCTGACATTGGAGCATATTCACCATGACGACCACTGTATGGGTCAAGGTCATCCTGGGGTACATATCTCAGGTCAGGGTTAGAATCTAAAAATAGACATCCATAACAGTTCCCCTTTAACCAAAATCCTAAGAAATATTCATGGCAGAGAGAGAGAAAGAGAGAGAGAGGAAGAGAGACAGACAGAAAAGCAGAGATGAAAGTTGGTCAGAAAACAGAGTCACAGAAATAAGTTTTGTGAGCAAACAGTGTGTACAAACTCCATCACACACCTGAGTCTAGTCTTTCTGTACACGGAGATATACAGAAACCTTGTGACAAAGTCTGACATACACTGGTACACAAACCAAGGGAAGAAAGAGAAACTCAACACAAATAAAAAAGTATGGTGAAGAAAGTAGTTTCAAAAGCAAAACAGAAAGTATAAAAGTCAGCGGCAACAGAAAATATGGGGAATTACAAAAATAAAGAAGACAGGTAACAGTTGTTCTGATGCTAACAAGTAAAACTTAAGATTCTACACAGAAAAACACAACCAAGTCAATTCTTGTGAATTCTAGTTTTTCATAACCAAGTAAGTTTCTGCATATAAAAATAATAATCCATGTACAAGATTCAAGAGTTCATCTAGATATTTACTACATTTGTAGAAGACAAACAACTGATAGACTTACCATACTGGTCGTGTACTGAGGTTGGAGTACGACTTCTCTGCTGTTGTTGTTGGAACGGATCGTCAGCGAATGGATCACTGTGAACCTGAGGGAGACCCTCGTGTTTCCTGTAGGGCTGATCATCGTAATCCCCAAATGTAGGCTGCTCCTCCCTGTACCGGTCGTCAGGACCCCGGGGGTCAAAGCTCTGATTCTGGGGGTCACCAGGGTAACTGTCGTCTGGAGGATAGTTACCATGGGGATCGTTAAGAGACATATTTTGGAATCTATCGTCGGGTGGCCCCTCCCCTCCGTAACCCTGGTTCCTGGGGACAGGAGATTCCCTGTAATCCTCTGGGTATCTATCATCTGTGTAGGAGGGGTCCTGGAAACGACTGTCCTCTGGGGGGTAGTCATGGTAATTGTCCGGGGGAGGGCCGTTTCTAGGATACATGTTATTTCTGTCTGGGGAATCTCTGTAGAAAGAGTCACTATAACGGGAGTCATTGTGGGGGTCTCCGTAGCGATCATTACTTGGTTGATCACCGTAGGGGTCGTTTCCAGGGTGATCACCATAGCGATCATCTGCTGGGTGACCTGTATACCTGGGGTCCTGGTTAATCAGTTGATTGCTGCTGTAGGGGGGAGATTCATCGTAGCTCCCCCGGCTCCTGGGAGGGGCGTCTCCATAGCGATCGTCGGTTGGGTGACCAGTGTAACGAGGGTCTTGGTTCATGTTTTGGTTGCTGCTATAAGGCGGAGATTCATCATAACTCCCTCTACTTCTTGGAGGAGCATCCCTAACAATGTCAAAAACAAACAGGCTTTGTACATCTCTAAGAATATTTCTGCATTAAACATTAAAGTATTCAATGGGAAATAACACTTTAATTAATTTTGTTGTAATTTGAGTTTTGATTGAAATATACTTTTATTTCTTTTAATTGAATGTCTAAAATTTAAAATCAAGTTAGAAAAAAAATCTTAAATTATAAATAAAGCAAAAATATATGAAATATAATGATCACTGATGATGCTAACAATGACAGTGTTGTGTAAACTTGACAAATGTCCCAAACAAGTAAAGCCTTAACACTTAGTTATCTGAATACAATGCTGTTATCTTTCCAAATTCAAAAGTCAGGCATATTTTGAAAGTTGCCGACAGACAGACTTCTCATATTGTATAGCATCACCCAGCAATAAAATTAGATGTTAAACTTTATAAAAAAACATTTTTAAAAAAAATTAAAATAAACACTGATAAAAGAATTAAAAGCTATCTGACAACAAAACTACACTGATGTAAGAAAAGAATGGGATACACTGCATACCACTGTTGATAGAAATGCATTCTGTGGCAGTTGCTGAACTTGTTTGAAAAATATCATCTTGGTATATTCAAAAATTACATCACTGTTTCAAATCTTATACTACAGTAAATTTTGATACATGTTTGATCAAATTCAAAATTACACTGTTTCAAATCTTATACAAAATTTTACAGCCTATCTTTAAAAAAATATTTAAATATCTTTTACCAAAACTCCAGAACTTTAATTTCAATAAGATTTTCCTATTCTCTGCAATGTATGTCTTGCAGCAGTATGCAGTGCTTTATAATGATATCTTTCTGAATCCCAGCATGTGTCATAAAAGCCGGAGGATGAAGTAAAATATGTTCCCACACCTCCATGCATAAGAGTAGCACAAACTACATACCGGGGCATAACAGCATACCCAGGTATCCCACAATGCATTGTAAGGGGATCACTTTAAAAACTTATAATGTCAACTACATAACAAATCAAGGTAATCTATTTAAATCATCACATTAAGATAAGGCTTACAAACATTTCTCTGATTTCAAAAAAAGATAGCCATGCAATGCTCCATTGTTGTCTTTAAAAACACTGATTATAAACACAACATTTAATTTTCTTTTAAAGATTTCACATTAACCGGGCAAGGAAAATTGCATTATGGGATAGTGTAAATACAAGCATACTAGCTACCTAGGATTGTATACACTGTATGGATCAGCTTGGTGTAAGCTATCATTAGACGCCACACTGTAGCGGCCCCCGCTACCGTAGGGCGGTTCCTGATAGCCGTTAAACCTTGTGGGGGTGGCCGGGCTTCGGGGTGATCCCTGAGGGTCCTCGCTGTACTGCTGCCTGGACAGGGAGGAGTATGAGGCGTAGTTATCGTGGGGCAGCTCTTGTCTGTGGAGGGACCCTAACGAGCCTGGAGACTTGTCCTGAAAAACAAAAAATCAAAGGTTAATCCAAGGTCACCCTGAAAAAATCACCAATGTAAATCCAATGTCAAGGTTACTGAAAACTCTGTCAGAAGACATTAACTCCAGCACTTTATATACTTACCATTCTGGAGGGGTTCCTGTGACTACCCCCGCTTTGGAGGGATACTCGTGATCCGTGGGGGGATCTGTCATCATGGTAATACTGACCACCATTAGGGAGGTGTGGAGAATACCTTTGTCCATAAGGGTCACTGCTGTACATTCCAGGGTCATGACCCCCGTAACTGTCATGTGCATAATTATCAAAATCCATATTATCGTTTCTGAAAATTTAAAAGGACAACATGAACAGCATAATCAAATCATAACATTAATTAGCTTTTGAAATAAAGCACTTTAAAAAAGGTCAACAAACTTTAAATGAAAGAAGTACTATTTGTATACAACATTTTTATCATTAAATTCAATCAATCAATCAACATTTAGAACTACAATGGTGTCATGTAATGTAATATTGTGCTAAGTTAATACAAAAATGTCATGTAATATTATAGTACTAAATAAAAATGCTTCATGCATTGGACAGTTCTGCCGGACAAAATTTTACAGGTTTTTCTTTCTGTGGATGCAGACTGCATTTCAGATATCAATAAGGAAAAACCTTCATAAAATCACTTGATTTGAAATTAAATACCGGAACTATGAACCATTTGAAAGACAGTAATTCTAGATCAAAATTTCTTGAAACTAAGGCCATCCTTCAAAAATTGTTTGTTTGGAATTGCCGCCTGAAGGGTTTCAGACACAGGAGGGAGGGAGGGAAATTATTTTATTTTTTTTAAATTGAAGAGAAATTAAAATTTTTTGATAAAAATCTTAGTAAACAGTAATACATTTTCTGACTTTTATAAAAAGTACCTACCATCAACAAAAAATCCTAATTTTACATAGATCTGACACTATATTTCGGTGTTTTGTATGGTGCATGTGATACATGAATAATGGGCAAAAAAATTTAAAAATAAAAAAAAATCTTCCTACTTTTGGTCAATAAAATTTTTTCAGGAGGGGGCATTTCAATGAGGCAGGAGGCAATTCCAAACAAACTATAATTTTATTTTGGCCTAAACAATAAACACCTGAAGGCCAGGGTAATGTACAGTTGTTTACTACTACCAAGCCCCTGGTTGAGATCAAAGCTTTGACCAATCTTATTCAGTATTGAGATCTGTAATAGCTGTGTTTCTGGGTCTCCCAGTAAAGCCCCCTATCTGTGTGGACCAGTCCACTAATTACAGGTGTATCCCGGTCCCAGGTGAGATAATGACACACCTGGGTAGGGGGCCAGAACCAGTTCAGATTGGTATCAGTTTAATCCAAGTGACTGCACTGATAAATACTGATAACGCCAACCAGATTGTGTATTTAACTTGTCGTTCGTGTAACTACGGGCTAAATGTTGTCACCAGTCCCAGGGACATCACTGTTTACACAGAATCTACAATAATATTTTGACATACGTATTTGAATTCTATTTATTTTGCAAGTAACAGTGAACTGAGAGACCAGTACTGATGGTATATTAAATTTATATGCTGTCTTCACTATACTACTTATAAAGAAAATATACACTGATATATGTCCCATATTGCTTCTTGTGTTCCCCTCCTAAAATGTTAAGTATGTAATAAATAATACACATACCCAAAAGTACCTCTATCTTCTAATTCTCTCCTGCAATAATAAGCACATATGTTATTAACACATCCCGAATCTCAGAAATATAAAAATCAAAGGCACAAATAAATCCAGCTCCTCGTAAACTTATAGGTGTTGTTGATTATATTAACTGTGATAATATTCCCAGGGTTAAAATTCCTTAATATTGTGAACCTATACACCCAGTGTTAAAATTCCAACACAATATACGGGACATGTTTAATACTGGACATGTTTAGACACTATGTATGCACATTTAACTGAAAGCCGTGAAAACCTGGCGTCAGAACTTACAAATCCTCAGTTCACTGTCTCACAAATTCCCAGGACAAACAGAAATACAGCCATTATAATCCGTGTATGATTCTCTCTCTAAATTCACTTAAAACTGAAATCCCCACAAGTCTGTATCCCACTGCACACAATAAGATGGCATATAACCCTGAGTCCCAAAACATCAGAAATCTGTTATATTTTTGGCCTACTCTGGATTTGTCGTACAATGTCTTCTCACAACTACAAAACACACCGAACCTTAATTCCCTGTTTGGCAGATTTTAAAACTTGTTTTTATTCTCTGAATGTAGGGCATGGTCAGGTTTTAGGTTGAGTGACCATTAAATATCTTCTCGCAGTAATCCCAATACACTCGACTCCCAGGCTGACGTGAACCAAACTTAAGGTGTCTAGTTATGAGGTCGTAAAGGTGTGAATCGAGCAGAAAGGAAAATATCTGCTCCTTTAATGTTCACTCAAGTGTTCACAAAAATGCACCTTCAATGCTACTTTCCACCTTAGCAGACATTTCCGCCTGACTGATCACAAAATATGTTGAACTTCCCATGTAAACAATCCATATCTATAGACCAACAGACAATGGGGCATTCTTAGGTTGCTAATACTTCAAACAGTAGAAGGCTGTTTCCCTGTTGGGCCAGTAGTACAGTTTATATGCTGTTTTGAATCCCCGAATTCCCCCTAGATCAGCTGATCTACAGTACAGACTATAATGGTCTGGAGAGAGGGCTTGTCTGAGAGCTGAATTCTTAACATTCCTTAGTCCCTATTTAGTCTATTATGTTAATCATGTTAATGTTTTTTATTATCTTTACATATCAAACTTTAAGGAATTATCTAATCCTGACATTTTTTCATGGAAATTATTAACATGATTAAGGTGGGGTGGGGTGATGGTTAACACATTTCTGACAATAGCTAGATAGATACTGTATGTTCCACAATTCTGAAATTCAAATACATCAGAGCTATAAAAGCAATAAATTTTATTTTCCTTTGTTCCAGCTGAGTAAATAAATACTTCATTAAAAAAATACCATGCCGGTTAAATTTGGGCTGTTAAATAATAAGCACTTATTAAACTTGAAAAAAAAATTATTGGTCTTGGGCCAGAATGCATCTTTTTAATTGTGGGTCACTTACTCTAACAGTTTAACACTAGATTCCTCTAATTAGACATGCTTGCAGGTTCTATTAAGTAACAACAAAGGAATGTGCCTCTATCAACATGGTAAAACAGCTCTTTTACATTCCAACCTACCCATATGTTTATGTAAAGTTGATAAAAAAAAGTGTCATTCTTTCCATAAAAAGAATTTATCATGCCAACAGAGGTTTCGATTTTTTTCTATTCCCGATTTTTTCTATTCATGCAGGACGTATGAAAAGAAAATTATTCAAAAGCAAAGCAGAGGAATAAATTAATAACATGAATAATGGAAGAAACATTCTCGTAATTCTCACATGTCTCACAAGCATCTCTGTATCCCAAATCCATATTTTTATTTAATCTGTACCGATTTACCACCCATGTATGGGTCTACACGATACTAAGCCCAGAGATTACATGGGATAGGCTCAGATGTAAAACTCCAGTCTAACACTTCAAAGGTCTCCACTGCACTCCAAGGCAGTATTAGTGTACATTATACCTGATCAGGCCCCTCTCCAAGACAGTATCACAGTAATTTATATCTCTTAGGGAAGTTTATAACTTTACCATTCACAAGTCCATTCACATCTCAGTGATAATTACACCAAATATCAACCATGTTAACTGATTCACAGAAAATAATACAAACTTCTCTATCCAGGGGCTAGAACACTGCAATACGGTAGACCTTATATACAGGATCAAACCAGGATATATTTGGTTTTAACATCATACGGGCAGAACACTTTGTCCTGACATCCTTACATAAAACATTTGAATTATGTACTCCTGTTTAATTCTTGAAATTCAACTTAAGGACAGATGATACAAACAATTTTTTTCTTTGAAAAAGATTAAATATCATGTCACAAGTTTAGAAAAGTGGATGGTTCTTAGATTTTTTTCTCCGCAGAAATGGAATATGAAAAAGACCTTATTGGTAATATTGCAAACAAAACACAAATATAGAAAATCACATTCATTGTTTTAGGTTTAAGAAAATAAATTGTCAGTTCTGTTATCATGGCGCTAAAAGTGTAATATAAACTTAAGAAAAATATACCGCAGGTGAATTTTATTAGGAAAAGCTAAATGGTTAAAATGAGCCTATGTGATATTGCCAATTTTTTGTAATTTGACATGTATATCATAAAATTCACCTGGCTTGGTATATTTTTCTTAGGTTTATATCACACTTTTAACACCAGGATAACATATTCTGAAATTTATTTTCACCTGTAAACCTTTACTGAATGTGAATTTTCTATATTCGTTTTTTCATTGAAATATTACTAATATTTTCCAAATCTATTTTATTTTCCAGTTCTTCGGAGAAAAAATTCTAAGAACCATCCACTTTTCTAAACTTGTGACATGGTATTTAATCTTTTTCAAAGAAAAAAATTGTTTGTATCATCTGTCCTTAATTTTATAGAATGTTGTCTTTGTGTAAGCTTAATGAGGCATACAACCATGTCAGCTAATTAGAACTCCTAAATTCAGAGAAATATACCCCAGTATAAAATCCATCAGAGTCACAGAGAGAGCTGGGGGAGTTTATTCCCTGTAATCCTGTCATGAGCAGAGCCTTATTCTCTGTGTGTAATTGGGAGGGGGATAATCATGTCATTAGCAGAACCTTGTTCTCTGTAAAGGGGAGGGGATGGATGGGGGATAAAGGAGGAACATCTGGCTGACTTTGGGAGACAGGAATAAGATACGGCTCTCTAAGCATGATATCTAGCAAAAGAACACTTCAAATGAAAGCTCACCATATACACGCAGTATAAGTACAATCTCACTGGGGGAAACTCTCTCTCTCCATGCAAAAATATCATAATGCTGATCACTCTCACAAACTGATGACAAGTTAAGCATTTAGGATAACTGAAACATGATGATGACAATGAATGATGATGAAAGTAACAAATGATGAAAATGATGTAGACAATAAAAGTTGCACATAACATCCATAAGATTTTTTTCCCTTCAATATCTATACCAACATTTTAGGGATGAATGCTCCTCATGGTGATGAAGAGATCTAGTAAACCTAAGGCAAATTGAAAATGTGTTAAACATGAACAATCCATGTTAAGTTCTGGGTGAGGAGGTCAGGGGTTAAAAGTAAGTAAATTACCTACATATACTTACATACAAGAATCCAAGAGATGGGAATTCATTTTTGGTGACACAAAACTGTCATCCTGTATTCTAGAGTCAGCCAGATAGTGGGGGCTTTGCCAGGGCAGGGAGTCTTCTGTTGTGTTAAAACTAGTCATGTTACCCGGACTTCCCTGGTACTGAAATGTAAACAGTCACCCCAACATGAAAGTCTTTTCTTTTGTATCTACAGTGGGCTGCTCTACATCTGTCACACCTCATGTTAATGCCCATTGAGGGCCACAAACTTAATAACCCCTATAACCCAACCAACCTCTCTTCTATATATACATTCACAGACTGTCCTAACCCCAAACCCTCAAACTCCTATAGAGATTTGCTACACCCCAAAACCCTTAACCTCCATTAAATCATAGTTAACTCCCCTAATCATCATTATCGTATGATCTCAATTCACATTCTATCAGGAATTGATCTATTTCATGCTGATTTCTTTGACAGAATGGCAGCATAATAGCTGTGACAGTTGACCAGCCCTACAGTCGACCTCCCCCCCCCCCCCCCCAATCCCCACCCCCAGCTCTGACATCCTCACCCAGAAGCAATCCAGACTCTGATACACAACAAAGCAGGACCTTCAATGGAGGCTAAATGACATGACAAAATTCACCTTGTGTACACAAAGGATGCTGTTAGTAAAGTAACCCTTTTGTAACACAAGTCTTGATAAATTTTCTGTTTTCACTGGCAAATGAAAATGTTTCTTATGATCAGATTGACTCCAGTAAATTGTTTAACAGATGAGTAAAAAATGTAATTTTATGGAACATGTGGAAAGAATAAGTAGAAAGCATATGGATTAAAATTAAAATAAAACATTCAAAGCAAAACAAATTAAAACATGGAATGAAATAATGAAAATACTGATGGGTGCATATCTGCCCATGCTGGAAAGTGCTTGACATAAATGTGATGAAAATTATAAACTGTAGGCTTCAATTTGAAGATAATGAATTTAGAAAATGAAAACATATGGCAGGTTTTTCTCTCACTCACAGCATTAAGAAAATATACATAAAGATGATGAGTCTCATTCTGAGTTAATAAAACATTTCCCAGATGTTTACAAAAACTCCCATTGAGAGTTTGGCCAGATGTTATTGTGGAGCTTCAAATGCTTAAAACAACTTCCTCTTGTGGATAAATCCTGGTGCTTGTGTCTTCATAAAAGTAATCCTAGTATTAGCTTTACTTATATATATATTCTAATTATCTATTATGATCATATGTAATTGTGTACATATTTCAGGGTATTTATATAAATTTGTGCAATGTCCTTAATTCATGGTCACCAGCACTTGCCAGAGATCAGATGGTAATGGACTAAAAGTCTAAAAAGACCGTTCTAATGACACTGCCCTTATTAGTCAGTCTGTGACCATCAAATACTAATGAAGTAAATTCATGAACAGTCTAAGGTCAAAAAGACCATCTTTAGCAGCCTCAATATCAATATGACCCAAATTCTACAACCTACTTATATACACAGAGAGACAGATGACTGGAGAACTAAGATCACTATCCCTACACATATATGTCATCACTATCCCTACAAATCTATGTCAATCCAATGTATCAGATCTGCTATCCTGTTTACATTACGTACTGTGTCTGTGAAGCACTGGAACTAAATCAATATGATAGGCAAACATTGGCATGATTGGTGGAAGTTTAAAATTTGACAATATCATGCATAGTTAACATTTGCTGAGCTTTGAATCAAATTTTAAAAATCAATGCCTATAGAGTTCAGCTATTTATTCCAGGATGTATATTTCAGTAAGTGTAGGCCCTGGTCTAGCGTACACTCATCGCTATGTAACAGTACAGCTGATAATCTACCTGTAAATAGCCACGGGGTCAGATTAGTAGCACACCTTACATCTCCTAGCTGTCAACACATCACTTGTATACACACAACTAAATTATCCGGGGCTCTACATTCACAGCCTCTGACTATACCAAGTTATCTAAATCAGGCACCTAATGGTTTAATTAAACATTTTTTTAGCTTATATCCTGGTGACCAAACCTCCAAGTGATAAGCCAATATTTGAATGAAAATTGAAAAAAATTAAAATTAGGCTGCGTTTTACATATTATTTTCTTCAACTTACAGTGCGCATCCATAGATCTACACATTCATATTGGTTGTTGCATAAATATGATGGATTTGAGTTCCACCTGAAGTTCTACTTCTAAATGAGGACAGATACATATCTATTTACTATGTATAATCCCCGTCAACAATGAAAAGCACATAAACTCTATGATATATGGGGACCAGACAGTCCTATATGTTTTCAGCACATGTGTCCTTGCTACACACAGATTGTATGTTATTTATGTAATGCGTGTCTGGCTTCAATGAAAGTCTGCCAATCTTGTGTCTTTGTGATAGTGATGTACTGGTAAATGGAGACCTCATAATAGGGATGTTCTAAATGCCCACTGTCCAGTGGTCTATACATCTACGTGGCCATGCACTTTGGGATTGAGAAATGTTAGATTTCAGCCACTACTGTGGAAGCTTTTCTATGTTTTGGTGGGGATTGTTGAATTGTAAGACATTAATTGTTACATACAGAATATAATGCAATTGTTTGAGTGACCATGTTAACAGAGAATTTGTGCCTCAGAATATTTTAGACAAACTTGTCATGCAAGTAGAGCCATAATATAAACATTAAACACCTCCCTCCTTACGTAATCCTGTGGTGAATATTAATTCTACCAGTTTACTTTAGACAGAGAAATGAACCAGATGATAGAATCATATTGCAGCGACTCATTTTTATGATGCATTGTAAAAATGTTCAGCTAAACCTGTTACAACACACACTCTGCTGTGTTTGTACCTCCCTCTGTGTTTATATGTCATTTTCTTTTACAATATACCTTGCCTTTTAAATATTTTTGTATTACTCTGTAACATGTGACACAATCCACGAAATATCAACACAAATATACAAAGAGAGATCCTCAAAACTCACAATAAAAATGTTTACAACGGAAGCAAATTCTGCCATTTATATATTTACATAAATACAGAAAAACTTCTTTTACATAAACCTTTCAAAACTTTCTACAGTAGGTAAGACCCAAACTTTAAATGACACTTTTATAAATTTCCCTAGGGAAGCCGAACCACTTTAAAATGAATGCGTCATATATTTCTTTGGGGGTTGTTCAATAAATCAACCAATTTAAAAAGAAACTGCACAAAAGGTCTTCCTCAGAAAAGATTTTAAAATTTCTAGGTAAGCAGGTCTATATCTGGCTCAGGTAAGCCTGGCAATAAGAAATAAAGGATTTAACGGGTGCAATGCATTGTCAATATTTTAATTTTTTTTCAAAATCCGTACTCTGCATACAACCATGTCCTGGACATGCCAGTGGCAGTACAACATCTAACCATCATTAGATCATCTCTGAACACAAAAAGACAGATGTATCATAAACTTGTCAATTTGAGTCACTTTCCAGATTTTCTATCATCTCTCGGTTCATTCTTTTGATTTTTTTTATAGATCTATGATGTTAATCAGCGTACACAAATGTTTCCTGTACAACCTCTATCCACCCCGGAGCAACACTGACCCTGTCTTTGTTGTTTTAAGGTCAGTTTTTGTTATTCCAGATTTAATCAGGATTAACACATGTTGAATGCATACCTCCACAGATCACAGTCTTACAGGCTACAGTTTTACATAATCACTGATAATACATCTTATAATTAGCCTGTCACGGAGAAAACATCAGTCCCCTCCCAAAGACACGCCCTCCCCCACCCTTCTCCCTAATTCTTACCTGTAGATTCTTTCTCTCAGCTTGTAATTCCTGAGTTATTCTTTTAAACTGGACTTCCTGTAGAAACAAAAGATTACATCACTGTAAACTGTAAATTATCCACTCCATTCTGAACATGCTGAATTCTTTGTTTCCTGTCAAACTAATTAAATTAGGGAACTTTCATGAGGTGATTCACTGTATAAAAATTTGAACTGTAGGAAAGTTTATTCCTACACAACACAATGGCTCAGTATGCTATCCGGCATCAGTAAAAAGGTATCACTATTATTTCCCAATCATTGACATGTAACCTCCATTGTTAAACACAGATTCATATTCCTTTTACCTGTACCAAGTCATGACACAGAGATTTTTTTTCTGATAAGATATTTGTATAAATCATTCATTGACCAGGTATGTTTTCGGTAGGTGTAATTATATCTTGTGTAGGCCGATACCTTGTCATAATCCAAGGGGGTCACCAAGGGGGCATTCACACCAATAACAAAAACTGTGTTTGAAAAAATATTTCAAGTTCACCTTCTTTTGAACACATTATAGAATTTGACAAAAGGCATGTTCTTGATTTCAAAATAATTTTTTCCACTGATTAAACACAAATAGCCATTGATCGTTGATCCACATCAAGCATTACCTATGATGTTATGCACGTAAGAAACCACGGAATATAATGACTCAGTTAATAGGTTTCTCCACATAACATGGTCCTATAGAGGCACAGGAAGTACTTCTATAAATAATACCTGAGAATTCTGGCACATTGCATAATCATAAATATTAAATATATTTAACATATCCATTATACAAACTTAAGATGATGAAGGATTTACTATACCATTAATCAAAAGAATGAGCTATTAGGAGAAAGGGAAAACTGAAAATTCATTACAAGTCAACGGTTACTGGGGCCTACAAAAAAAGACAAAGGACTTTTAAAAGCTAAATAATATAAATAATAATCCCATATATCTATTTCTCAAAGAATTCATGTCAATATTAAAACTGCCTTGCAACAGTGCTGTTTGATTCCTCCATGCATGTTTTAGCACACATTCTTAAATAAGAATTAATATTTAATAACTTCTTGTATGGTGGATTAGTACTATATGTTTTGAGAATGAGGTTTAGGCGGCAAGGCCAATAAAGTTAGCAACATTTCAGCATGTTCAGAATTTTGGAAACTTTCAAGTGGCCAAACTATAGACAATAATTGGCAATCAAGAGTCCCTGTGTGACAGATATATAATGTGAGAGTCTTGAAGTTCATTACTTTTACTTCTAAACAGTATATACAACCATGCTCATGTTTAAAGTGCGCGAAATAGAAACGAAACGAACTGAAACGAAACGAAATAAAAAATTAATAAAACGAAACCTGCAAAAAGCAAAACTTTTTTTTCTTTTTTTTTTTTTTTGTAAATCAAGGTACATGTACATGTATATTATTATAAATGTGTGACTACATGTGTAACTACACATTGACTTTTTTTTTACTTCAAATAAAATTCATTTACTTCAAGCATTTGTTTATATACTTGTTGTTTATAGTCTGGGTTTTCACAATGTGTATACTAGGGTATGGACCAAAGCCACAGCCGGTGTGGCAAAAGAGCTCAATGGCCCTGAGTGCCAAGCATAGGCCTAAATTTGCAGCCCTTCACCGGCAATGGTGACTTCTCCATATCATGAAAAATTCGTAGAGGGACGTGTATACAATCATCAATCTCTTGTTTATATAAAATTTAATTACTTTGCATTTTTTTACATGTTTGCAAGCTGCAAATATGCACGAGCGTACTATGCATGTAAATTTCTATGTGCATTATTTTCTAATTTTTATATCTAGCTAGTGTATTTTAAAAATTTGTGTTACATGTAAAGATTCGTTTATGTACGGGTCGAAATAAATTAAGTCACTGTACTGTTGTATTGCGAATGTCCTAAAACATAGGATAAATCAGAGACTTACAGTATTTAGTATTCCATTCCAAGGTGTCTGGTTTTTTGTCCAATCAGATTATACATGTAACTCCAACCTAAATCTTGTGTATCCTTTCTACACGTACTTAGGTCCATTTTTTATCGAGGTAATTATGGAGGAGGAAAGGAGTGGTTTGCAATAAAGAGGCTCGACCATAGACGTCTTAAACGATTTAACTGACAAGTAAAAAGTCTCTCTTAGCGAACGATGTATATTACATAGGCATTGAAAACTGGGTTTACCTTTTTTGTTGGTTAAGCCGCCCCCCAACTTTCGATTTCCTTCCGACGCCTACGTAGAAACTTTAAGCGAAACAATTGCCTGTGGTGCTTGAACTATACAAATTTCATATGAAGTAAAAATATACCATATAAACGTTCTGAAAGGTTTGTTTCGTTTCGTTTCGGCAGGTTTCGTTTCGGTAGGTTTCGTTTCGGTAGATTTCGTTTCGTTTCGGCAGATTTCGTTTCGTTTCAGTTCGTTTCGTTTCTGTTTCGTTTCGCACTTTACAGGTACCCACTCCAAATGACCCATTACCAGTAATCTTCCACTCCTCCCCCCAAAACATCCCCCCTACTCTCACCTTACCTGAGCCTTTACAGACTTGAGTAGACTTGAGGAGGATTCATTGCCTAGCGTTCTATCTGGGGTGTGGATCGGGGTGTTCTGATAAAAACTGTCCTGGTCGTATGGACCCACAGGCATTGCGATGTCACAGCATTAGTCTCAGAAGTCCAAGAGAACTCGGAGGTAAGCAGCTACCTTCAACACATAAAAAAATACTAAGCTACCAGATACCCCATAAAAAATCAAAAATAACAAACAATGAAGGGAAAAGTAATAAGCTACAAGATACTACACAGACATCAAAAATCACAATTATTGAAACATTTCTGGGAAAACATGGCCAAAATTCTTCTTATTCATTGCAATTTTGAATGTACAGAACATTCCATCATTAAAATGATATCCTAGGGACCCAATTTAACAATAGAATTTGTTCAGTGTTTTGACAATGTAGCAAAATAAACATGGGCGGTTACTCAAAGTGCATCAACTATGAACAATTCAGAATTCCAAATGTCAACATGGTGTGTAAAAAGAAAACATGACAAAACTGTTGAATTTTCATCATTATAGGGAATTTTTTAAAGGATAATACAATCTTAAAAATGCTTGTTTTTTACTTCTGTAACAGGAAAGGAGAAAATGTATGGCTGGACCGGGAATCGAACCTGGGACCCTTTTATCTCCAGGCAGTTGCTCAACCAACTGAGCTATCCAGGCCAATATCCTAGGCCTTAACCTTTTTTCACTTCATGTATTTATTCATTGCTAAATTTGAAGATTCTAACTTCTACGGTGATTTTATCATTCAAAACAAAACAAACTCAGTAACTGTAACAGGTAAATAAAAAAAAAAATATATTATGCACACATATCGAATTATTAACATTTTGATTCAATAGTAATTATCATGTTGTCAAACAAAATAAAACTGTAATATCAGATTCTCTCAGATTGTCCCCACTAAGTTCATGCTTGATAATTTCCCTCTGGGTGCCTCTTCTAGGAATGCCAATACCTTTACCTGACTTCTGACAGAGTTTAATTTTGAACAGGTGTACATAAAAAGAAAAAGAAAGCATTAAACAAAAAAGTTTATTTTCTTTTAATCAAGAGTCACTTAACCCTCGTAACAAAACCATGGATTAAATTAACAGATAAAAATATATTTTGAAACTTTAAATCCTGAGACGCCATGATGAAACATGGCGTCCCAAAGGTGTAAACTAAATATTAATCCACTCAAATTAGGGTTGATTGGGGGCTAAGTAGATGGACATAATATTAAGACAGACCCTCTGATATTTATCGGAAATATTTTTGACAAATTTGTGAAAGAATGCAACATGCTTTTTGGATTACAAAAAATGTCTACATCGTTTTCAAACAATGCACACAAATTTACAGGTATTCGGCACGTCGTCGATAGCTTCTGTTTAATTGGCAAGACAAACATCAGCTGTAAATATATCTCCAAAATACTTATCATCTAATAAAACAAAAGACTTACTTAAATCCTTTTCAATAGGGCCTATTTGTTTGCAATCTGGTGACTTTCGAACAATATTTATCCTTTTCGTACAATGTTTGTGATTGGCTATTCCAAAAGAAAAGATCACGCCCTCTGTCAAGTGTTTGATCTGATATGAGTTCTCTGCCCTTGCAATGCTGCAAAATCAAAGTACTAAGATTGTAAACGCACTTTGAATTTTTTTTCCAAAAGGCGTTAAAATTGGGACAAAATCAACATTTTCTACCATCCAGAAACTTTGAAAAAAATGTGTTTATAAAAACAAAATATCTACTCTTAGAATTTAGTGATACAGAGCATTAATTATTATTGGTTTTTTTTAATAAATTAAACTGGGAGTATCTTTCGGAAAACATTTGAAAGCCTACACTATAACCGTACAGATCCAAAACTTTAACGAAGTTTCGGGGGTATATAGTTTTTGTCGTGTCCGTCCGTTTGTCTGTCTGTCTGTCTAGCTGTCTGTTTGTCCGCAAAAACTTTAACCTTAATCATGTTAATTGCCCATAACTTTTGATTTAGCGGAGCTATGACTTTCATATTTCACATGTGTTTTATTTGTGTCAAGAACTTTCGTTAGGTACCACCAAATTTGTCGTTTTGACCTTGACCTTGGAGTTTGACCTACTTATATACAAAAATTCGAACCTTTTACTTTTGACATATCTTTGAACATTAGATAACAGGACATTTATACTTCACACATGTATTTTTGTTGAAAGACCTTTCATTGGATACCAACAATCTTGACCTTTTGACCTTGACGTTATAGATTTATGTACTTGTGCGAAAACTTTAATCTTGGCCATAACTTTTGAACGGTAAGAGATATAGTTTTCATACTTCATATATTTATTCATTGTGAAAAGATCCTTCATTGAATACTAATAACTTTGACCTTACGTTGGAGTTTGACCTACTTTAAGAAAAAAACCTTGACCATAACTTTTAAAGGGTTAGGGATAGTGTTTTCATACTTTACATATTTAATTCTTGCGACAATTAAGACCTCTCATTTGATAACAAGAACTTTGACTCTTTGACCTTGACCTTGGAGTTTGACCTTCTTTAAAAAAATAACCTTGGTCATAACTTCTGAGCAGTTAGGGCTAGGGCGCCCTTACTCCGTATATGTATTCTTTGTGAAAAGACCTTTTATTAAGTTTCAATAATCTTGACCTTTTGACCCTGACCTTCCAGATTTTTGTACTTATGAAAAAACTTTAATCTTGGTCATAACTTTAATGAATAATGATAATTTTAAAGAAGTTTGGCAACCAATATTAGATGTATTATAATCATTATCTATTGTATTTTTACATACTATGCTATTATGTCTTTTAAAAAATGTAATTTCCCCCGTAATATATTTGAATTTTCTTTGTAAAAACAATGAGCATTCAATATGTATTAATTTATGTAGATAGTAAGCTCCAAAACAATTTTTAATGTTCTATGAATCAGAAACATTGTCTGGTAAGATAGTTATATTTGTTGCATGTTTTTTTGTGTTTCATTACATTGTATATATATGAAGAAAGAGCCAATAAAAAAACAACTTTAATCTTGATCATTACTTTTGAACGCTAATCGCTAGTGATCTCATACTTCACTTATCTATTCCTTGTTAAAAGACCCTTCATTCGATACCAAGAACTTTGACCCTTTGACCTTGGAGTTTGACCTTCTTTTAAAAGGTAAACCTTTCCGATTACTTTTAAAGGGTTAGGACTACTGTTTTTATATTTTACATATTTAATCCTTGTGACAATTAAGACCTTTCATTTAACTGCAAGACCTTTGACCTTGACCTTGGAGTTTGACCTACTTTCAAAATTTTTAACCTTGTCCATAACTTCTGAAAGGTTAGGGCTGGGTCTTCCATACTTTACAGATGTATTTTCTGTGGGAACACCTTTCATTGGATACCAATGACCTTGGTCTGGAAGATTTCCGTACTTATAGAAAAATACTTTAACCTTGGCCTACTTTCATATTTCACAATTATATTTCTAGTGAGAATTTATTATGACAAACATGCATTCGGAGATTATTGCACTGGAAAGTGTAATCTCAAAAATGAAAATGTTAAAATTATCATTCAAAGGCCCTCCAAAAATTATTTAAGCAGAAAATTGAAGATTCTAGTATAAATGACAAAAACAAACTTATCTAAGAAATCGGCAAAATTATTTTTTCACAGAATTATATTTATATCTTTTACCTGGATAATGTTTGCCAGATATTGTTGGTGAATTTTGTCAATCTGATCAAAATCAGATCTTTCTTAAGCTCCGAAATTCAGATGGTCGCTAATTTTCTAAGATTTTGTAAAATTTAAGTTGCGCAAAATTTTGTGTAGAATTTGCAGAAAGCGGCCAAAAAAATATCAAGCATGCATTGATTAAAGAAACCTTACAATTTCTTGATAATTAAGGGATTTGTCATTTTTAAAATCAATATCAGTCAAGAAATATATATAAAATCATCCATCAAATTTTTGTTGGTTTTATGTATCCTTATTCCATATACATTGCATGTATTAAGGTAAACTCAAATATCTGCATGGGAAAAAAAAACAAGACTGATGTGTTTGTGAAACACTGATGCCCCCGTATGGCAACATAGCGAAGGTTAAGCTTTCTCAAATGCAGATCAAATATATATTGGTACCTAAAGTAAGACTTCACAAGAAATACAAATGTGAAATATAAAACCCTAGCACCACCTGTTCAAAGGTTATGACTAAGGTTAAGTTTTTAAAGGTAGGACAAACTCCGGGGTCAGGGTCAAAGTGCCAAGGTTGTTGGTTTCTAAAGAAATGCTTTGTCTAAAAGATTACATATGGGAAGTATGAAAACGCCGGCCCTTACCGTTCAAAAGTTATGGCTAAGGTTAAAGTCTTTCCGTAAGTACGGAAATTATCCAAGGTCAAAAGGTGGAAAATATTGGTTTCAAATGAAAGGTCTTGATACAAAGAATTGAAATAAGAAATTCCTAGTATCTACAGATTAAGAATTAGGACCAAAGTAAAAGTTTGGATATTTTGAGTAAATATGGGTCGAACTCCAAGGTCTAGGTCAAAGGGTCAAGGTTATTGATATCAAATGAAAGCTCTTGTCATAAGGATTAAATGTGGGAAGCATGAAAGCCCTTGTTCTAACCCTTCAAAAATTATGGTCAAGATTGTAATTTAAAAGTAGGTCAAACTCCGATGTCAAAGGATCAAACTTCTATGTATCAAAAGAAGAGTTTTTCTACAAGGATTACATATGTGAAGTATATGAAAGCCCTAGTTCTTACCGTTCAAAATAAGTACGTTACGTCATAAGTTCATATTAGGTTCTCCAAGGTCAAGGTCAAAAGATCAAAGTTGTTGGTACTCAATGAAAGGTCTTTCCACATAAAAATACATATTTAAAGTAAAAAGTCCTGGTATCTACTGTTCAAAAGAAACGGCCAAAGTAAAAGTTTGGAATTTTTGTGTATAAAAGTGGGTCAAACTCCAAGGTCAAAAGTCAAATTTTGTGGTAACAAAAGAAAGGTCTTGTCACAAGGAATTTACATGTGAAAATGAAGGTCATAGTTCCACCAAATCACCAGAATGTGTTGTGAAACACTATACGTCCGGCGACAACAAAGTTCGAAAAAGTATATTTTTAGC